TACTACGTGGATGGCATCTAGCGTTGAGAGAATTCAGTCAGGCCAAGTGAGGGCTGGTGATTGAGATTCGGTCTCATCGGAGCACGACTGAAATCGATCTACCGCGGGTCTACTTGGGCTGTCTGTGTAGTCGATGATCAGGTGCTGTTCCCATGTCGCACGCAAGGGATGACACCAGATCCCAACGAATTGTGCAATTGCGCGAGAGCGGCCTTGTGGGAAATGATTCTCGATACGATGCCCCAAAAGTCCCTTGACATATACGATGACTGTCGACATTGTAGACTGGTAAGCTCTCTACAGATACGAGATCTTACTACCCCAGACCGTCCATCTGGCATCACGTCAGGCGTCGGGGGAAAGGTTCGGAAACTTTGCGATTGGTGCCCGCAGGCGTCTAAGCTGCAAACTACCAGCCTAACAGTAGACAAGCGAGACAACCACCACGCTAAGCATGAGGATCCGTTCGACTTCCTCTCGTTTTCCCCTTCTTTCTTGGGACAGAGAAAGAGTTCGTGCCGAATTTCCCAGCCTTGGCATCGTGTGAGTTGCTGGGATGCCAGCAAGACTGGCGGGCAGCAATGCCCGCCTCGCTGCCCTCACTGCGTTGGCGTGGCTGCCTCCCCTCCTCGCGCAACCATCAGCCGCATGCGCCGGCGGATCAGCTGCAGCCAAACTATCGACGGCGACATTCCTGCCGCCGATGCCGTGTTCTGATAGGTACCAGTTCTGGTGTCTTGGATCGTGGCAGGTGGGGGGTATTCGTGTGGCAGTGTTGGCGGGCGATTGAGTTTTGAGAATTCCAGTTGCTTTCGGTAATCGCGTGGCAACCTTGACGGTGCACCAAACATACAGACGCCTCATCGTTTTGTTTAGCTACATGGACATGTGTGAGCCGTGCTTGGAAGGCTAGCGAGCATTCCTCATGTCAGACAAGAGTCGTTGGGTAGTCCGTCTTGCCCATTGCTCCCTCGGCTGAGCTTCCCTTGGATCACGATCGCTCCATATCCTTCCCCTCTTTCAACTTTTTTCTCGACGCGGTGCTGGTGGTTCTTTACTTTTGTCTTTATCTTTTACTTCTTGATACCAATTTTGTCGAAACCATGATGCAAGAAAAGGAAGACGAGTCGAGCTCGAGGCTGCTCGCTGGCCGTGTGCAAGAGTCCGAAGAGGACCTCGAGTCCCTGCAATCAGTCTCCGACGCGAGGCAACATGATTCACAGAGGAGAGGAGATTGGAGGAGGACTGCAGCTGTAGTTGTGGTCTTCGCCCTCTCGAACCTCTTTTCTATGCATTTGGGTGCCCATATGAGATCGACTACGGCGGATCTAGATGGCGCTTGTGCTGCTCACACGACGCAATGGTCGCCGGTGTTGGAAGATGTGGATGTCAAATACGACTGGAAGCATTTCAACGGTTCGTTCCTACAGGAAGATATCTTTAGGAAGGAAGCTTCGCCAGAGGTTGATGCGGCGTGGGAGTCAATGGGTGTAGATTGTAAGGAACACCCTATCATGGTTTCTCGCCTAGTAGCTAACAATATGGAGACCGCGCTGGAGTCATCTCAATTGAAGATGGCCTGAAGAGCGGCCTAGACATGTCCTTTGTGAGAAGATCAGAAAAGTACGGCGCAGGATTCTTCGTCAACGTTGAGGGAATGCATCACCTTCACTGCTTGGTGAGTCAATGGCAGCGACTCAGCATGGAACGTATGGTGCTAACGATTGATACAGAACTTGGTTCGGAAATCCCTCTACTACAACTATGACTACTACAAGAAGATGGGCACGCACGCTTTCGCCAACGAGGAGCACATTGTCCGTCTCCATGTTTGTAAGTGGAGGCCATTGTATCAACGTCTTCAACAAAAGCTGACCCTCGGCAGCACATTGTCTAGACACCATCAGGCAAGTCCTGGTCTGCAACGTCGATACTGGTGTTCTGGGCCAAGTCTGGGCCGGCGACCCTCCGGCGCCATTCCCGGACTTCAACACCAAGCACATGTGCAAGAACTACGAGGCGATACAAGAATGGGCAGAGAAGCTTCAGGTGAGTAGAATCTGTTGTCTGAGTTTGGTAGTATGGACGCACGCTGACATTGACGTACAGGCTCCTCCCGTCGATACCCTCCCTGGCGACTACACTGCACCTCCCGAGCCGAGTGATGTCCTTCCCACAACGCCATAAATACCAGAGTGGAGAGGCAATATTGCTGTAGGATTGATATAGATGAACGATACTAAATATAATGACGAATAGAGTTCAATACCATGTTGGAGATCCAGACTTTCATGTGAGGCGCCTGCAGCCTCAGGACTACATGTCCCTTGGCCACTAGTAGTTGAACTCCTGGCCAACAAGCTTCTCGCTCAACTTCCACAACCTATCCGCCTCAATCTTGTTGTTCGCCCAAGGGTAGATCTCCTCATCGTACTGGTCGGCAATGCGGCAATCATTGAAGTACTGTCCGTTGAGACCTGGGCAGCATTAGCTTTCCGTATGTAACCTGCGACTCTGAAGCACTGCTGAGTAACTCACTCTTGATGTCCGGACTGAATGCGGTGTACACGTGGGTGGCGATACCCTGGTCTTCCGTCTTTGGGTTGAACTCCGTCCACATATTCTTGGTGCCCATGATGATTTCCGTCTCCCCTGTTCGCACCGCGATTAGCGACAGGTTCTGCAGGTACCGCGTCCTCACAAGCGATTTACTTACGCAGGGAATCAAAACTCTCCAAGTGGCCACCCAAATTGGTGAAGATAACGCCCGGATGCAGGCTGAAGCTCAGGAGACCCTTGCTGCCCAGCTTTTCGGCGAGTGAGAGAGCCATGAGGCAGTTGGCCGTCTTGGACTGCGCATAAGCGATCCATTTGTTGTAGTGCTTGCCGTCCTATCCCACGCTCTCTAGTCAGTGTCTGGAGCCTAGGTGCGATTCAAACAGCATGAACACCCACATTGAAGTTGTAATCCGTCCACCGAATACGGCTCAAACGGTGCCCATCGCTGCTGACCGTCACGACCCTCGGCTCCTTTGCAGCGAGAACCTTTTTCAGAACCAAGTTTGTGAAAAGGAAGGGACCGAGGTGGTTCGTTCCAAACTGGCTCTCAAAGCCATCTTCCGTCTTGCCCCAGTCCGGAGCCATGATGCCCGCATTATTTACCAAGACATCAATGTGAGGCACATCGTCCCACCCATTCACAGTCTCCGCAGCCGCTCGCGCGCTCTTGAACGAGCTCAGGTCCAGCTCAAGCGTCTTGACAGCAACGGCCGGGAACGATGACGTAACGGCGTCGGCGGTCTGTTGGACTTTGGTGGTGTTGCGGCCCGCGAGGATGAGGAGGGCCGGAGAGACGACGGCGACTGCTTGGGCGAATGCGGCGCCGAGGCCGCCGGGGGAGACGCCGGTTACGAGGATTGTTTTCCCGGCGATGTGGGAGGCGTACTCGGTGACGAGTTCGGTGCCTGTTGTTTCACGGCCTAGTGTGGGAGCCATGGCTTCTTGTGTCCTGGTCGTAGTAGAGGGTTGCTGGAATGCGTAGAATTTTGTATGTCAATGTTTGCACAAACTGATGATGTAGAAAGCCGTTGATGTTTCGTTAGACACAGCATCAATTGTAGACAGGCGGCATGTTTGTCTTTATAGGAGCTTCATGGTCATCTACATTTCCCGTCTCACTTCCGCATGTGGTAGTACAAGTCGGTCGCCGTCTTCTGCAGACGCAAGTAAGAAGCCTCTTAACTCCAGACCCAATGGGCATGAGGCGAGTGGGAGCCGAATGCCCAGAACTCATCTCGAGAACCATGGGGCTATGAAGCTGTAGTCTGCAGCTTGCGATCCTTCACGTTCGGTTACAGCTCACAAGGGACAAAAGTCCAAAACCAAGGGATGTTCAGGGGAAGCCTGAAAGATCTTTGGTTCAAGTGGCCACTCAATGTAGCCCGGTGGGATGACATTGCCTGTATAGTGCGTACTCATCCGGTCTTTACTACTACGAGAATTGAATAGCGGCACGCATCTCGTCGGCGTTAGGTTCAAAGATGCTATCAACAAAAGTTCCGTCTTGTCATTTAGCTTCCAAATCATCTATCGCCGAAATGTTTGAATCTCGTTTGTCGGACATTGTTTCAAATCAAAAGGACGCGAGCAAATAAGAGGCGCCCGAGCCGGAGTTAAGAGATGGAAACCCCTTTAACGCCCGGGTCTTGGAGGAGTAAACGGTACCGTGACTTTTCCGTGTGCCCGTCTCCCAAGGCAGAGGGATCAACATTTAACTACACATACACAACACGGATTTGGGACAATCTGAACCGCATCCCGTCCACACGGCATACATTCCTTGGCACACCGGCGCAGACACCGTGAATCATTGAAACACGACGGACCGCCCCGATAGTCCCCCACTCCGGAAACCCACGGACCCCGTTGCAGCACCGTCACTTCCCCCGGGACGCTTACCAGATATGAGCTACCGATGGTACTCTCTTCAGGAACAGACACCTAATTAGTACTACGAGTCGGTGTTGAACAACAAAACAAATTGATCTCAGTAGTACTTAGGTACCTTCCTCCTTGATAGGTTACTGCTTCACTGTAATTGTGAATGATTATGGGCGCGATTCTCCGCACTTGAGCAAATACCTAGGAGTAAGTTAGCGAATGGGCTTCCTGGCTGCACAGCCCTGCCTTACTCGTGGGCGTTCCTATCCGCCCATTGTAGGTACTGTACTTTACCTCAAGTAGTTCGTGACGGTAGGTAGGAAAAGGTAAATGGCATCTCGGCACGGGAGCACCGGCTTCTATAGTGACACCACATTTCAATCCTCCAGTCGAGACTCGAGCCTCTACTAAGGTATCCGATCTATATTCTCACTAGTGCCTCTACTTCGTAATCCCCCCCCTTTTCACCAACCAAAAGCTCTCAAGACGTCCTTCGCCCTGATTTAAATCGTCGCAGCCCAGGCCGACTCATCCGTCCGCCATTGACCATGCCAACTAAACCTGCTTCAGCCTCCTTATCAACGCCATTGAGACGTATTTTCTGGGTCTTGGCAAGGGTACAGGGGGGCGGGTGGGATGGCCTAGTGCTCCCCGGGTCCAATGAAGCCTCCGTCCCGGGACCGGCGGATCGTTGCCCACTATCCCATTCCCATTCCCATTCTCCATCCCACGCGGCCCATCTTCCCGGTTACCCACAGCTATCCGAAGATACTTGAGCTGTTTATTGTCCCCTTAAAGGTCCTTCGTTAAAACATCCGCTGTTCCCCTCCTCCTTTCTTGTGTAGCCAGAGCTGTTCCGTCTCACGTCTTTTCGTACCTTGTGGCTGGCCATCTTACGTTGGATTTGTGCGACCTGTCTATCAATCGAAACAAGCAACGTCAGGAGGCTCACACCAGTCTACCTTGGGGCGCAACAATCCCTCTCCTCACTTCCCACCTGCTTCACAGAGAACCGTACCCGAGAGTTAATGACTGAGAGCTGTACGATAATATTTACTCGAATGTCCTCATGAGTCTAGGTGTACCCGAAAACCAATAAGACATGTATATCACAGTATTCAACGCCTCCAACGCCAATATGCCACCTACACCGTCACATCCGATGCTGTCCGCCTCGTGGCTCGTTACTTTGACGACTACTCGTCTCGCGTGCAAAGACTCTCGATCCAGCGTGCCAGCTCTACGCTCTTGACATCGACGGTTCTCCAAAAGACGTCGCTGCCCCAGACTGTCGGCACACCAAGCAAGACAATTCCGAGAAACCACGCCACGAGTCGCCCAATCACGCCAGTCTCGTCCCTACCGCCGACAAGCGCCCAGACGTACGGCATCCAGCGATGCGAAAAGACGTCGAGAACGGGTCCGTGGACAAGGTAAAGCGCGTAGCTGATGTCTGCGAGGTACTGCGCTAGTGGCGTCACGAACAGGTTCTGCAACACTTTGATGTGTTGCAGAGTAACGACAATCTGGAATGCGCCAAGGGCATACCAGGGGAAGGAGACGAGGTCGCCACCCATGGTGAAGAAAGGCTCCATGGTGTTGTGCCAGAGTGGTGACATTCCCGGGGTGATGTCGGCCTTTTGGTTCGGCCAGCCAGCCACAAATAGGGCAAAAATCAAGTTACCGACGAGGAAAGTCTTGAACACGCGAACTGCCAGGGAGCTTGAGGACGAGTCCGAAGCCGTCGAGGATTCCATGTCGGATGCCTCCTTGTTCTGCAAAGCGGCAACTTTGCGCTCCTGGCGAGCTTCCTCGATCAAACCGACCTCGGCAAGGAACATGCCACCCAAGAACTCAAAGCCGGCCCAGTGGCCGCACTTGAGGCAGTAGATCATGATGGAGAAAACCGAAGCGAGGCGTAAGTACGTCTTCATGCGGCTCACGCCAGTGAGAACGACAAACAGGAGTAGCGAGTGGGAGAATTCGATGGGGATGGTCCAAAGGTGGACATCATAGGGCAGAATCTGGGTAATATCCCACTGCCAGCTGAAGGTAATTCTCCACACTGCGTTCTTCCAGTCCACCAGCTGCTCCCACAGCGTAGGCAAGGGCTGTCCCATCCATCCCAGGCGAATCATGATGAGGATCATGAACGTAGACGCAGTGGTCGGCAGAAACAGGCGGAAACCACGGCGGAAGACACTGCTTGACAGGGTGCGATGCAGTCCATCGTAGTCATGTTTTCTAGCCTGCTTCAAAGACTTGAGAGACAGAACGAAGCCCGAGATGATGAAGAAGATGTGGACCATGGGCCGACCGCTGAAGATGACGCGGAGGAAGGGCAATTGCAGCGGGGAGGAAGCGACATGGTCGTTTTCATCGGGAACGCCGTATGCCCTCGCCGTGAACCAGCCAACATGTTTCTCGGTGAAGTGGCAGAAGAAGACAATCAGCGATGCAACGCCGCGCAGACCATCGAGCCACGAAGTAGGATATAAGCGCCGGTGCTTGAAGTCGTTGGGTCGGAGTCGGCGCTGGACGAAGGAGGGCAGCAGGAAAAAGAGGATTGCCGTCAATCGTGCGAACAGGGAGCTGGATTGCGCGGGAGGGCTCGAGCCACCAGGTGATGAGGGTTCTGAACTGGAATTGACGTTTCCTAGAGGGGAGTAGGAGTATGCGCTCGGGGAGATGCGGGCGACAGCTCCCCGGAGGGAACGAACGACGAGGGGGATCATGGCGATGACGATGGCTATGTCGTCGGCATGCCCTTGAAGAGGAGCTTTTCGAAAATTTGACGTCGGCTCAAAGGGGAGGTGGTGTTTGCGGAATGTGAAGTTGTCGGCGCGCTGGTCTTAGGTATCGTGGCCGGGCTGGCTGTCGGTTGAAGGTGGACTCGATGGACGGCGGACTGTGTGAGGCGTCGGATGTCACAAACGACGTGGCTCGGCAGGGTTTCAAGACCACCCGGGCAGACGGACCACAGAGTCAGCGAGGTACGACTGAGGACGAGCCTGCTGGAACAGCCGGCAGTTCGGCGACGAGGCACAGGTGGAAGCGAAGAATGTTGACGATCTAGAAAGGTGCGTAAAAAGGTTGAGGAAAAAGTTGAGGGGAAGGAAAGCTAGTCGTGCCGGCTACACAGAAGAAGGGAACTCGACTCGAGTCGACTCGAAATTGGGTTTGGCGGCAAAAAGAACGCCAGAAGGCAAAGACGGCGGGAGCTTGGCGAGCTTGGCGTTGCGTTGCTCCTTGACAGATGGCGCTAATCTGCCCAGGGACAAGGGGGTAAACCGCCAAAACCGCAAGGGGGGAATGGACCGCTGGTTGCTGGTTGGAGATGTCGTACGGATACTCGTGGGTGTGTGCAGGATCGGAATCCTTCTTGCAGGTCGGATGCGTGCTCAAGTGGGAATGGCGGCTTACTGACCGAGCTGTTGTGCTAGGCCCGGAAAGTAAGTGTTGGAGAAGGGAGGGACTCGGGGAAGGCGGCGAGTGGATGGATAAATGGGCGAGGATTCCCCTTTTTTTCTTCTTCTTCTTCTGGAAGCGATGTTGTTCAGAAGCGGCCTTTTGTTCTGATCAGGGAGCATTCAGTGTTCAATGCAGGTGGGCAGTCAGAGATACGATGAATTGCGGCACAGCTTGTGTTTGCAGCCTGACGTGCAGTGTCTGCAATGGCGAGAAGAAAGCGCGAATACGCAGCGCCCTTTACGAATACAACGACAAAAGCTGCATTGGATTCCGAGGTGCTTGCCTCGCCTTCGGGTAGGTACGAGATAATAAGGGAAGATGGGATGAAATGAAAGAGATGAAATGAGATGGAGAAGCTACGACTCGCTCAGATTATCCCACTGCAAAGCGTTGAGAGAACAGAAACAGACGGGAAACGTGATGGAAGGTACCTAAAGTAGGAACAGCCAGTGGAAGGAAAAGAAGCATTTTGAGGTACTCCTTACTAATTGACATATTGTCCCCGTTGCATTCTCTTTCTCGTTCTGTTCTACTGACCTCGGCGGTGCAATTATTCTGAAGCAGAGGATGAACTCTATAAGAAAATAGGAAACAGCTGTTGTGTGGTGCTTTCCCCAGACATCTCCACCCATCTGCTCCTTCCCTGTCTGATGGATTACGCCCGGTGGCCCGGCGTTGCCCCTTCTGATTTGAGTTCTGGACAGCTTCCCACCTTCCCACCTTCCAAAGATCCATCCACTGAGGCGGGAATCCGCTGATGGCTCCTGCTTCCCGAGTCCACAGACTACCTATAGCGGTCCTCATCTCTGGTCCTGGAGACCCTGAGTCTAAACTCAAAATGTCCTTAGCCGATGCCACCCTCAAAGTCAATCTCCATTCCCATTCTCTAATTTCATAACCTTCCACCCAGACACGCCAGAGTAGATGAAATATCACCTTGGTTGTCAGCCAATTTTCTCACAGACCAGAGTCTCTGTGCGTGAAGCTGAGTGGCTGATAGACAGGTATTTGTTAAGAACATCATGATGACTGGAGGAAAAGCCAACGGAACAGAAGAAGATAGCGTGCTTGGGTATGTGTTATTCGTACTTGCCCGGGCGGGTCATCCTCCTTCTCAATTGAACTGAGGTGACCCGCTGAGATGAGTTAGGTACCTCACTTAGGTACTTAGATTTGTACCTATCGCCGCCCATCTCAGGCAGGCACTCAGGCAACCCAGGGAAGGAGAGGAGGCATGGAGGCAATTGAGTTTCACCACCGAATTGTTTGCAGTGAATAGGTACCTTAGGTAATTCCCATCTTCAACCACACCCCATCCATCTCCGTAAGATTGTTGCACTTCTTCATGATCAACAATGGACAACTTGATCCGACCAATGTCAAATATCCCCACGAAGCCCGTTCTGCAGCAGTCGCATTGCTTGTAAAAGCGTCTCGACCCTGCGCCAACAACACCGACGCGTCCCTCGCATTCCTCCAGACCCGGCCCCAATCCCCTTTTCATGCCTCATACCCGAAAACTGCCTTGGCGACCCAGACATAACAGCTCGACGTTCGCTGGTGCACGCCATCAGCGTAGACAGAACCCTTGCGCCGGACTTAGGCGGACCTAGATACTGTCCACTGCATTGAGTCGACTTGCTTCAGCCATAGGTAGCCAGTCCAGACACGCTCTGTTCGAGATAGGTTACCCACGCCATCGTCTTCCACTCCTGGGCCCTTAAGCACTACCACCATGCGAAGACTTGACTTCCACACTCCCTCATGGGTACAACTGAAATTAGGTCATTCAAACTTTTCCATAAGAAATATCCTCCTTGTCTTGTTGGACTGACATTTTCTGAGCCATGGTCAAGCGCATCAGAGTCAGTCGCACACGATCATTCCCAGCCCTTCTTCACTCAACACTGGCCAGCAGTTCCAAATAGCTACTAGACTCTGTCACGCTTTCTCGACGCCTGAAACGGTCTCAGGCTCTATAATGATTATTGGGATTCTTCAAAACGCCATGCATGGCTTGAGAGAAACTAGCCACCATAGCCCCCAGCGGTATCGAGCAATTGGGGTGGCGGCCAGGTGGTCAACGTTTTGCACGGAAAAGGCATCCTAGAAACCCGTCTCCCGCCGCACCATGTGCTGCACTGCACTTCCTCTTTGGCCCCCATCTGTCAACCGGCCTATGCAAGCAACTTACGATCCCTCGCCTCGTGTCTTCAGCCTGAGCAGCCAGCTTTGCGTCATATCATAGGCCTCACAGTCAGCGGCCAATTGATACAGACTAATGTAGTGCCCACGCATCTGCTGTTTGTAAGCTGACTGCAGTCTTGAACGGTATCATCCCGCACCGGCTCCTCCGAACTGCATGAAGCCGGCCTGTATAGCCACGCACTCGACTGCTCGCCAGCAGGGTTAAGACAGGTTCGACAGGCACCATTTCAGCCCTATGAGTATACCTACTGACATTGTCTCCAGGACTGTTTGCCAGTAGCGGACTGCCCATAGCGCACTGGCCCCATCGCAACATGACATTCCCAGCCGACTTGCACAGGTCAGCAATTGGCACTCGACTGGCTCTCAAAAGGCACGCAAGTTTGCCCATCATCACAATCTGAGTCGGGCCATTGAGGCTACTATGCCAATCAGAATTTGCTTACATTACAGCGTGTTCTGCCTCGTTAGAACCATCACGTTGTTTTTGTTTCTCAAGCTGAGAGACAATGCCTCGGAAATCTGGGTTCCAATTCCATCAACAAGCCCAGAGCCTCTCATCAATTACCCCGGATTCCTTCCATTTCCAATCCGCGGAAAGGAACTGTCGACGGCTGCGAAAGCCCGTGTCTCAGACCCCGCAATCCAAGGGAGTGAGACCACCCCTCCCGACGGAAGGACTTGGACATCTCTTCAAATAGTCGGCATTTTATGAGTCTCGTAGGTTTGATCGGTGGCGGTACGGTCCGGCCAGTCTTTGTGAAATGAGGCACGGCAGCAGCCCTCAAGGAAACCAGATCATTATCTTGTGCCCTTTTTCGGTGACGACGTCCGTGGCAGGTTATCCTTGATCTTTGAGGGCAACCAGCCATTCGCCAATGCGGATACTGTCGCACCGCCCAGCGGCACAGGTAAATACTACGTATGTATCGTCCGGTGAGATGGAGGCGGACGGCTGAAGGATCACTGCGCATTGGCCCCAAATGCCCCCACGCAGAAAAGAAATGGTGGTGCGCCTCTTGTTCGACTGGCTTGCACAGAGTGCTGACACCCATCGCCAAGCAGCTGACATGACCAAACGGGCCTTAGTCGACCTTAACGACTTCACCTGTTCCGCGAGCTATCGAAGCACGTTGGTGCAGAGTTGCAATATTTCCTCACACCGGGCAAACGCAGTGCTACGGTGCGGTTTCTCAATAACTCATATATCAAGGCCGTTTCCGGAACACAGCAGAGCAGGCGGGGGGCCCTTCGGTAACATCGTAAGCACAGTTGCGGCCGCATAACATGTTCTCACCAAGTTCCAACAACGGTTCCCCCAGCCGTGGTCAACTCCAAGTTCCAACTGACCCGAGCCAAACTGTTCCAGGCATTATCAGGTCCCTGCAACTCTGTCAAAAACCGGGGACCGCCAATTCGCAATGCACTACCAGGCCCTAAACGGCCGGGAATGGCGTGGGCTTGAACAGGGTCAACAAGGCAGCTCCCGTGGAACATACGCATTACGGCAAATACGTCCGAGAATGAAGACAGCAAGTTACGGGCTAGATTGGTCCCTGCTAGCCTACGACATTATCACATGTTGACCAAGTCCAGTAAGAGATCGACTCATAATACTTGTGGTATCCGTAGGTATCGCGCAAATACGATCTCATCTCCCCCGCCGGCGCCCATACATTCACCGAAATCCCGGCTGAGACAGAGTCATCGCTCCAACTGGCATGACACCAAGAAAGAAGGCGGCCTGGCATACGAATCACCTCTTCAATGATTGGCCATTGGCGCATCTCGCTGGCCTCATCAGGAACTCATTGACTTCAGCTACTTCTCTAGTAGCATCATGTCTTGCACAGTGCTTGCTGTTTTCGTTCTCTTCTAGCTCGGCGGAAGAGGAAAGCTCTGCAACTCTTTGCTGCTTCTGTTGTCCCATCCACCATACCCGGAGTCGTAAGCAGGCACGCAGGGGACATTCAGCTGCGCCCTCGCAGCCCCCACGATGCAGAAGTCGGCCTGCGATATCAACCATTATTGGTTCGGCGCCGCACGACAGCAGGGGGGGTTCGTTGGTCCCTAGCTTCGCATCCCGGCCAATCGTCTCCCATGTTTAGTCAACAGACGCCTTTCTTCATCACCGTCGACTTCTTCATCAGGGCAAGCCTGGTCAATGATTGGCGTACCTCCATAGTACCTCGGGAGCGAAGCCCTACAAGACGACCAAACTAGTAGCGGGAAGCCTAGGAATACATTTGCTTCATCGTCTCGCGCTATTGCCTGGCACAAACCCATGACGGCCTTGTGGAGCTTCGAGAGCTGACCTCAGCGCCAACGAGGGGACTAAACGAGAGAAAGTATCCCAGCCTGATCCTCAACACCATGTAGCACAGTGTCTACTGGCTCACCCGATTCCACTACGCCTCGTCATGGAGGGGGTATCTGTAATTCCATATCTGCTCGCCTCGGACAATGTTGTCCGCTGTCGATTCCATGGGGCAAGAAGCGGCCTGCTCACATACATATATGAGGGAACCCGTCGCCCCAGATCCGAGCCTGCCTGTGTGAACGATACCTTCCTTTTTCCTTCAAGTTCAACTTTTCTCTCTCCTTCAACTTGCAGTCGACTGGACTATCCGCCAGCATGTCTCAAGCCCAGGAGCAATTCCCCAAGCACCAGCCTCTCCTCACGGAGGTGTCGGAGAAGTTGGCGGCTGCTCGCAACCTCGTTCACAAGTCCCTTTCCGCAGTCCCACCGCATCCTGAGCCAGCTCCAGGTACCACTGCGCAGGAACCTGAACCGACAAATCTTTTGCAGGATGTCAAGAAGCTCGGCTTCCAGGACTTTGAGACCTTGGCCGAGTTCGGCATCACCGCTGTGAAAGGCAAGATCGACGACAATGAGCTGCTCTTGGAGCATCTCATCCAGCTTTTTGCCAAGTTGCCTCGCGGCACCGTCAAGGGCAAGAAGCTTGAGTATGGCTTGATCAACCAGCTTTGGAATGGTATTGACCATCCACCTATGACGACTCTGGACGAGACGTTCAAGTATCGTGCTGCCGACGGCTCCAACAACAACATCCACAGCCCGGCCATGGGCGCAGCTGGCACAGCATATGCTCGCTCAGCTCCGCCAATCACCTATCAAACTCCCAATCAGCCGGATCCCAGCCTTCTGTTTGATATGCTCTTTGCTAGAGGCGAGGAATTCAAGCC